CCAGATACATATGAATTTTGGGCATACGATGGTAAAGTGAATAAATTAATATAAATATTTAGTTTTGAAGTTTATTATTGAATATATTAATTTATTAATTTTTTCATAGGTAATAAAATTGTTTCTGAATTATCTGACGAGCATTTTGCTCAATTAGAAAATATTGCTAATAAGGAAAATGCCAGTATTAATATCAACCAAAGTATCTCCAATAAAAAAGTAAAAACATCCAAAAAAACCAAGGCTCCTCTTAATGTTGTTCAATTAAAACTTGACCAAGAAGAGCAACTGATTTTTGAAGTTATGAACAGGATACTTCTGTGGGATTTTACAATCCCATTAAAAGGAGCAAAATCATAAAAACCAAACTATGGTTAGAAGTATCTGACTCACTTAAAGGTATTTACTTAATTTTTATATAATAATTTCTTTTTATGAAAAGTCCTATGAATAGTTGAATAATTCTAATACGAATATTATTTTCAACAGGTGCTTTTACCCCAGATGGTGCTAAAAAAAGTTTAAGGCATTAACTGACACATTTAGAAAAATCATTCGGGATGAGCAATGTCCAAGTGGTTCCGCTCGCAAAAATAATGGCAATAAATGGGCTCATTACGATTCCATGCAATTTTTGAGAGATCATTTCACTCCAAGAGAGTATGTATACATATATGTTGTACACCCATGGAATTTAATTCTGTCCCTCAAAAATTTTCAACAATCTGAAATGAGCACCTTTCTATATTAATGGTCACAGTTCGTGTACAATAAACAGCTTACGTTTGGCTGTAAGCTGTCTATCGTACATGGACGGTGAGCATTAATGTAGAAAGGTGGTCACTTGTCAGATTGTGAAAATTTCTGAAGGACAGAATTAAATTCCATGGGTGTACTACTTAATACTGTTATTATTGATTATATTTTATTCTCTATTAATCTTACATATTTATTTTATTTTCAGATCTGCAACAAATTGCGAATCTGAGGAAAATGATTCTGATGACATTAATTTATCTAGTTATGAAGTTGATAATGACAGTGTAAAAAAAACAGCAGAAGGATTACACGTAAAGGAAAAATATTGGTGATAAGGACGATCTAAGTTTATCTATTGATAAAGTAGCAGAAGCTATAAGTAATTCAGTTTCAAGCAGAGACATAGTTTTGCCACCACCCCCTGAGCTTACAGAAATAGATTACTGTTTAAATATAATAGGCAGTCAATTGAAGAAAATTCCAGAAGAAATGCAATCAGATGCAATCCACAAAATGTTGCTGTTATCTTACGATGTTGTTCAAGAATATAACAATTAATAATGCCATTATTTCTTAACAATAATTAATAAAATTAAGTATTTGTTTTTTTAATTATATTTTATTCATATAAATTTTTAACAAATGTGTTTATAATGCGTTAATAAAGTTTCTCACAAATCAATTGAAAAATGTTTTATTTATATGATTTCCAAAGTAAGTATATAGTCATACATTTACAATAATTTTACAAAAGTTAATATTCAATATGTATATATACTCTAACTTTTTAATGATGACAAAATGGATGACGGAATATGTAAATATAATTGAAAAAGAAAAACAAAAAAGGAATATAATCCATGTAGCAACTTTATCAGTAATAATAGCAATGAAAAGAAAGAAAAAGAGATCATATACTCCAAAACGTTACTGGATTGAACCTGTATTTAGATAAAGAAATTTACATGGATTTTACGATAAGATATTTCCTGTGTTACAACTTGAAGATTTATGATTGATAAATTATTTTAGAATGTCATCATTAGTTTAGTAATTTAACAGAATTTTAATTATCACAGTCATACTGCCAGGAAATAGCGCCTTCACCATTAAAATAGGCACAAAATTCATCTCTTATGGAAATAGCATTACGAGTACTTGAATTTGTTCCTGTTCTTGTTATCTCTTGGAATGCCCAGCCATCTTCCCTTAGACTGTTCCATGTCCCAGGGATCAATATACCATCTGAATACCGATCAACTAGTTCAGGAGATACATATTGATATATGTACATCCTTTTTTCTTAACCAATTATGTAAGCAAACATAGCTTGTATAATTTTTTCTGCAGTCACTTTGCAAATGATTGGTCTTCTAAATATTCTCCATTGGCTCGCTAATATGCCAAAATATTTTCTATGATACGTTTGGCACGACTGAGACGATAATTATAAATTTCTCGTTCTTTAGTTAATCCCTTTCAGGATAAAGTCGAAGCAAGTAATCAGTTAATGGAAAAGCTTCATGACAATATGGCATATCTTTCTGCAGAAATGGAGACGGACCTGGTAAATTTATTTGCTTTGAATTAAATTTCTTCCTTGGAATTCTTAAATATAGCGCTATCACTGCCCCTTCCAAATGCCCAATATCTACATATCTAAAAACATAATTGGTATCACAAATTGCTATGTGTTTGTAATTATAATATGATGACCCAGAATTTCCAGGCTGAAAATAAATTTGTTGTAATTAATAAATTATGCCATTATATGTGTATGTATATTCTATTCAATACTAATATTTGCGAGGTCTAACAACCATAAGTAATATTATCAAGGAAACATGTGAAAATATGGCTTAATGTCGACTAAAATTAAAAAAAGAAAAATGATTGCAAACGAACTTGGATTTTAACCATTGCAATTTAAACTACAATTAAGTATAGTATAATAATTTTTATTGTTAATCCAATAAGTTCATATATATATATATGACTATACTTACTTGTATCACTACATGTTTACTGTCAATGGCCCCAATGCAATGGTTAAAATTCCATAGTTCTTCAAAATCGTTTGCAATAGACAACCATTTTTCTTTTTTAATCTTAGTGGAAGCACAAGACTATTAAGATAAATCCATATAGTTTCACATGTTTCCTTGATAATATTACTTATGGTTGTTAAACCTCGCAAATATTAGTATTGAATAGAATATACATACACATATAATGTAAAGATGTTTTCTATAATTTATTAATTACAACAAATTTATTTTCAGTGTCCTGGAAATTCTGGGTCATCATATTATAATTACAAAGGCACACATAGCATTGTCCTTCTTGCTATTTGTGATACCAATTATGTTTTTAGATATGTAGATATTGGAGCATTTGGAAGGGGCAGTGATAGCGCTATATTTAAGAATTCCACTGTAGGAAGAAAATTTAATTCAAAGCAAATAAATTTACCAGGTCCGTCTCCACTTTCTGCAGAAGGGCCAGATATGCCATATTGTCTCGTGGGTGATGAAGCTTTTCCATTAACTGATTACTTGCTTCGACTTTATCCTGGAAAGGGATTAACTAAAGAACGAGAAATTTATAATTATCGTCTCAGTCGTGCCAAACGTATCATAGAAAATACTTTTGGCATATTAGCGAGCCAATGGAGAATATTTAGAAGACCAATCATTTGCAAAGTGAAAACTGCAGAAAAATTATACAAGCTACTGTTGCTTACATAATTGGTTAAGAAAAAAGGATGTACATAATAATCAATATGTATCTCCTGAACTAGTTGATCGGTATTCAGATGGTATATTGATCCCTGGGACATGGAACAGTCTAAGGGAAGATGGCTGGGCATTCCAAGAGATAACAAGAACAGGAACAAATTCAAGTACTCGTAATGCTATTTCCATAAGAGATGAATTTTGTGCCTATTTTAATGGTGAAGGCGCTATTTCCTGGCAGTATGACTGTGATAATTAAAATTCTGTTAAATTACTAAACTAATGATGACATTCTAAAATAATTTATCAATCATAAATCTTCAAGTTGTAACACAGGAAATATCTTATCGTAAAATCCATGTAAATTTCTTTATCTAAATACAGGTTCAATCCAGTAACGTTTTGGAGTATATGATCTCTTTTTCTTTCTTTTCATTGCTATTATTACTGATAAAGTTGCTACATGGATTATATTCCTTTTTGTTTTTCTTTTTCAATTATATTTACATATTCCGTCATCCATTTTGTCATCATTAAAAAGTTAGAGTATATATACATATTGAATATTAACTTTTGTAAAATTATTGTAAATGTATGACTATATACTTACTTTGGAAATCATATAAATAAAACATTTTTCAATTGATTTGTGAGAAACTTTATTAACGCATTATAAACACATTTGTTAAAAATTTATATGAATAAAATATAATTAAAAAAACAAATACTTAATTTTATTAATTATTGTTAAGAAATAATGGCATTATTAATTGTTATATTCTTGAACAACATCGTAAGATAACAGCAACATTTTGTGGATTGCATCTGATTGCATTTCTTCTGGAATTTTCTTCAATTGACTGCCTATTATATTTAAACAGTAATCTATTTCTGTAAGCTCAGGGGGTGGTGGCAAAACTATGTCTCTGCTTGAACCTGAATTACTTATAGCTTCTGCTACTTTATCAATAGATAAACTTAGATCGTCCTTATCACCAATATTTTTCCTTTTACGTGTAATCCTTCTGCTGTTTTTTTTACACTGTCATTATCAACTTCATAACTAGATAAATTAATGTCATCAGAATCATTTTCCTCAGATTCGCAATTTGTTGCAGATCTGAAAATAAAATAAATATGTAAGATTAATAGAGAATAAAATATAATCAATAATAACAGTATTAAGTAGTACACCCATGGAATTTAATTCTGTCCTTCAGAAATTTTCACAATCTGAAAGTGACCACCTTTCTACATTAATGCTCACCGTCCATGTACGATAGACAGCTTACAGCCAAACGTAAGCTGTTTATTGTACACGAACTGTGACCATTAATATAGAAAGGTGCTATTTCAGATTGTTGAAAATTTTTGAGGGACAGAATTAAATTCCATGGGTGTACAACATATATATACATACTCTCTTGGAGTGAAATATCTCTCAAAAATTGCATGGAATCGTAATGAGCCCATTTATTGCCATTATTTTGCGAGCGGAACCACTTGGACATTGCTCATCCCGAATGATTTTTCTAAATGTGTCAGTTAATGCCTTAAACTTTTTTTTAGCACCATCTGGGGTAAAAGCACCTGTTGAAAATAATATTCGTATTAGAATTATTCAACTATTCATAGGACTTTTCATAAAAAGAAATTATTATATAAAAATTAAGTAAATACCTTTAAGTGAGTCAGATACTTCTAACCATAGTTTGGTTTTTATGATTTTGCTCCTTTTAATGGGATTGTAAAATCCCACAGAAGTATCCTGTTCATAACTTCAAAAATCAGTTGCTCTTCTTGGTCAAGTTTTAATTGAACAACATTAAGAGGAGCCTTGGTTTTTTTGGATGTTTTTACTTTTTTATTGGAGATACTTTGGTTGATATTAATACTGGCATTTTCCTTATTAGCAATATTTTCTAATTGAGCAAAATGCTCGTCAGATAATTCAGAAACAATTTTATTACCTATGAAAAAATTAATAAATTAATATATTCAATAATAAACTTCAAAACTAAATATTTATATTAATTTATTCACTTTACCATCGTATGCCCAAAATTCATATGTATCTGGATCAACAAAAAATTCGTCAAATTCTCGAATACATAAATGTTGGGCAGCTTTTTTATTTAAACAGGTTTGTTTACAATAGCTACATTTCACGAGAAAATTCTAAAATTATTAATATTTCTTAATTCAATTATGTATAACCTCAAAACATTTCACATGTGTATTCTGCTATCATATTATACAGATATATATTCAAAGTATTACTTCATATTTATTAAATTATTTCCTTTTCTTCGCTTTGCATGATGAAATTTTATGATAAACAAACAATTTTTCGATTAATAAATTAAGCATGACCTGTCAACCACCGTCAACGCTGGAAAGTTGGGTAGAAACGAACTTTTTAGCGTCAACCATAGATAAAATTACATAGAGTGAACACGAACAAAACGAGCGTCAAGCGTTTCAGCGTCAGCATGAAAAGGTACCTTAACTCATGCGAAATCTAGAACGCTCATTCGTTAGATTAAAGTCATTCTCATTTAAAAAGTAGTGCTCAGACGTAATTTTGTCAGAGGAAAAAGTTGTTTCTTTTGGCACGAACAATTACGCTGTACATTCCGAATTCGCGAATTTGGGCACCCTGTATATTATTTATTTAAATATACATATTATTTATTTAATGCATGAACCAATAAAAACTAAAAAATAAATTATTAAAAAAAATTTATTGAAAATTGATACGTACGTAAAATTTTCTCTCTTGAAATACACACATCAATATAAATATTTTGTTATAGTATTATATATTTTATTAAATCTTTTTAACTGAAGTAATAAAATATCATTACAATGATATTTAGTTTGTATTTACATATAATATATGTGATATGTATAATATCAGATTAATTATAAAATAAAGAGAGAGAACATTTTATGAGTATAAGAATAAATTCATGTGAATGTGTGTGTGCGTGTATGCTAACGCATGTGTGGACGTGTGTGTGAATATGAATTCATGTATATGAACATGTATGTGAATATGCAATGTGTATGTGTGTACGCAAACGTGTGAGTATTTGTATGAGTGTACAAGCATGTTGTTTTATAAATGTGCGCGCGTGGGTGCATGTGTACAAGAGTGTGTTCATATGTGTGGAATGTGTGGATATGTATGTGGGTATGAATTTGGATATGTATGTGTTTATATGTACATGAAGATGCAGATGTACGTACATGCGTGTATGTGAAATGATGGGCATATGGGCAGGTGTATGGTTTTGTGAGAGAGAAAATTTTATTTCTTAGTTTGTATTGGTTTATATATATAATTTAAAAAAATTAATATATTTTGATTTATGTAATATTGTATACCTGTATTGCTCATCATTCCAATAATTTCTATTTTGTCACTTTTTCGGATATCCATTTCGTAATAATCATCTACAAAATTAACAATGTGTACTTCTAATTTATAAACACCGTCCGTTAATGATCCGCATCCAATGATTTTATTCAATTTGTTATTATGTATACTGCTTAAATTAGTTTTGATATATATTCTTCTAATACTGTAAAAAATATATATATAATATACACACACACACATACATATACCAATGAAAAACAGGTATATAAGGATATATAATAATATAATATAATAATTTTATATATATTATATATATATATATACATATACAAAGATATGTTTCTTTATATTAAATATTTCTATTTGTATCAGGAGACGCGGTAGTGTCTCCGGCCATGTTCAAACCCTAAAAGACCTTAAAAGACACTACAAGTCTCCTTATCCTGCACCATCAAAGTCCATTTTTTGGGGGTGTAGAACTACTAAAATATAAAAAATTTTGAATTGCACGTAATATAACCTGAAAGGCGGCATCGCCACGAGTAATTTGAGCCAAGAAAAAATAAAATCGGTCAAGCCGTTCTGGAGATACAAGCGGTCAAAAAGTGACGTTTTTCATGAAAAATGAAGTAACGTCGTCTTCTTCTTCTTCTTCTTCTTCTCTGTCCGCATATAAATCTCTTCTCACCTTTCACTCACACCTCCCTCAACTTCCACCCACCCCTTTTCCTCCCACCCCACTCCCACCCCCACCCCCACTCCCACCCTCTTTCGCCTCTTTCACCCCTTTTCGTCCTCTCTCACCCTCTTTCGTCCTCTCTCACCCTCTTTCACCCTCTTTCGCCCTCTCTCACCCTCTTTCGTCCTCTTTACTCTCTTTCATTCTCTCTCACCTCTCTTTCACCCTCTTTCATTCCCTCTCACCCCCTTTCGTCCTCTTTCACCCTCTTTCGTCCTCTCTCACCCTCTTTCGTCCTCTCTCACCCTCTTTCGTCCTCTTTCACTCTCTTTCATTCTCTCTCACCCTCTTTCACCCTCTTTCGTCCTCTTTCACCCTCTTTCGTCCTCTTTCACCCTCTTTCGTCCTCTTTCCTCTCTTCACCCCCTCTTTCACCCATTTCGTCCTCTTTCACCCTCTTTCGCCTATCTCGTCTTCTCTTACCCTCATTCGTCCTCTCTCACCCTATCTTCAAAAAATCATAAAAATGAAAAGGTCAAGCCATGTTCAAAAGAAGGTCCTCAAAAATTTAAACCTAGTCTGTACAATGAAAAATAATTACTCGTAATTCCAGAGTTCCAATTTGTTAATATCGAATAATGTATTTGTTTCAAGTAATGGCAGTAGAGTCAAATACATACCTACGTATATGCAGTTTTTGCTGTTAATTGTACTTGAACGAAAAAAATAATTAAATGATTTAAATATAGCACATTTTAAATCAAGAAACTTATATAATCGAACTCTGTTTAGGAAAAGGTAGAACATTTCATTTGCCTCTGCCTTTACAAGAAACATTGGATAAGGTATGTCCTCCGGAAGATCCTATAAATTTGAATCACGAGTTGCACATTCTCGTTCGAGGTATACCCAAGAAATCTAAAGTGGTTTGGGAAAATTTGGTAGATATTAATAAAATGTATAAGGCTTTACAATGGTTGAAAGAAAATAATCCTCATTACTCAAAAATTCGTCTTCCAGCGTCATCTGATGATCTATTAAAGGATAAGTTGCAGGAAACAGAATATAGGATTGTCGATGAGGAAAGCGACAATGACGAAATAAATGAGGTGGTTGAGGAATTACCAGCATTGAATTTGTACAATGTACAGCAAAACAAAAATAATAATGATCAAACCGTTTTAAAACGTACGGCTTTTCTCACACAAATCACTGAACATTCGGATATTAACGATCAGTATACAATATACCCAATACACGCGAAAAGAATCGATAACGAATCTGCATTGAAGCTTTATCAAATGGTGAAAATTGAAGATTTTCCAATGGATAATCGTTATAAATATCTGGATGTCATGTGTTTCCCTGATTTATATCCTGATGGTGTCAATGGACAACGAGAAGATAGAAACTTTGCATTGCCGGAATATTTATTTATTAGAACACGATTGATGTCGAAACATAGTAGATTCAGGTTGAATCTGCAGTATCTGTTCTTCCTTCTCAATGATGCTAACTACCGACAGTTGAAAAGTGGTATCTATTATACGATGATGGTTACTAACCCACGAGAGAGATACACTGCTGGTAGATACTTGAACGAATTGAAAGGTTACCAATTAGAATCGAATTTAATGAGTATTTTCGCAAAATTGAGAAATACGGATCAATTTTGGCGACAACCGTCCAATAATGTAAAATGCATGACTTTGCATTACGGTCCAGCGACGTGGTTTTTGACTTTGAGTCCTAGTGAATGGAAATGGTCCGATTTGGGTGAATATTTACGAGATATGAATCCCGATAAAGAGAAGTTAGGCATCAACGAACTAATCGCATACGATCCTGTAAGTACTTCTAGATTCATGTGCATAAAATTCAAAGCCATGATTGATTTTATTTGTTCGTCCGATAATCCTATAGGAAAGATTATTCATTACTTCTGGCGACTGGAATATCAACGTAGAATGCAGCACATGCATTGTATGATTTGGATAAAAGATGCTCCAGTATTAGGAAAATCGCCGGATGAAGAAGTTGCTACGTTTATTCAAAAATACGTAACGTGTGAAATTCCAGATGAAAATGTTTCGCCAACGTTGTACGATACGGTAATAAGTGATCAGAATCATAAACATAACTCGTATTGCATGCGTACGAAAAAAACGGAAACTAATATATACAGAAAGTGTCGGTTCGATTTTCCTCGGCCAGTTACTGAGAATTTCGTTTTAAGAGACGTTATCACTTCGATAGTCGGTAGAAAAAATTTACGCAGTAAGAGCAGATTGTACGATCTTCCTCGCAAGGAGTCGGAAAGGTTTATAAATGATTATAATCCGTCTATCAAATTAGCCTGGAAGGGAAATATGGACATACAATTTATTAGAGAAAAATCAGAGTTTTTAAACTCATATTTAACAAAATACACGACAAAGTCGGAAAAATGCAATACAGACTTTGAAGTGATAGATTCGAATAAGTCCTTGGCATCGAAACTGTGGAATTTTGCAATGCGTTCATTAAATAACAGAGAATGCGGTGCTTTAGAAGCTGCGGATACACTATTAGGGAATCCCTTGTACGGTACGGATAATGATACCATGGTCAAATGGATCGATGTTAATGAGGTGAGAAATAGAAAAGTTAAAACATTTAATGAAATTTAAGCTCTTGATGAAAATTCTACGAATATTTACTGTTCGTCACTCATCGATGATTACTATCCAAATAGACCTCAGGAATTAGAATCATTGAATTTGTACGATTTTGCCAGATTCTGGGAAATTACGAAACAGATGTCAAATAATGACGAAGTCAAGTGTTACAAACTGGCATCGGGTTTATTTTTAAAAAAACGAAAAAAGGGTTATTTAATTAACCATTATCGATTTAATATAAAAACTGAGCCCGAAAAATACTTTTACTCGCTGCTTCTTCTGTTCAAACCATGGAGAGATTTGAGTGAACTCAAAGGTACATTCGAGACTTACACGGATGCCTTTAAGAATTCAGAGTCTGTTTTAACGAAGGTAATGAAATATCACGAAAGGCTCGAAGAAATACAGAAAGCTTTTGAGAACGTGAATTAATTAATCTGCTGAATTAATTAAATTGCTGAATTAATCGAGAAGCGCGAAAATGATCTGAAAACAGCAGACAGAGACAAATCCGATGACGATGAACTGGA